CCCCCCCCCCCTCCTCCTCATCTCATCTTGCAAAACAAGGTGAGGCGAGTCCAGCCAGCGCATGGCGCTGGGAGTTTTCTGTTCATGCCATGCCTCTAGTGGTCCATCTTGGCCCTGTTTTCCAGAAGAGCTTCAAGCAGCGCAGCCCCTGTCTGCTGTGACTCCTGATTCTGATTGTTGAGCTACCTCCTTCTCTGTCCTTCACCGGGTTGCGCTTGTACCTCTTGCAAAAAAAAAAACATCTGCTGATGCCCCTACACTACCGCTGCCGCTACTGCCGCTGCTGCTGCTCCTGCTCCTGCTCCTGCTCCTCCTCCTGCTGCTGCTGCTTCCCCTGCTGCTGCTTCTGTTGTTGCAGCCTGTACTACGAAGGCACGATTTCTCGTCTTTGCCGCTACTCGTAATCCTGTTCTTCGTAGCTCTGCAACACCTTGCATTCTCGCTCTCTTGACGACCTGGGGTCGGTACAACAAAGGCCCTAAACTATGGGATTTATGGGTATATTCCTTATTAATGGGTATTACCTTACCTTAAGGACCCTAAACTATGGGAATACCGAGAGTCAGACGATGATTTTGCCGTCGTCCCGGCTGAGGCCGCTGGAGAGGGAACCCTGGAAGTCCAAGCAGGTCACGATTCTTCTGCACGCAGGTCAGCTCTCTAAAGATCGGTTCGAGAGGCGGCTCAAAGAAATGATGTGATCGCAGTCAGTCGAGTGATTGCGAAAGAGGCGCTGCTGGTACCAGGAACAGAATTAGCTCCAAGAACTGTCAAGGACACCCACCAGACTGGCACATGCCGGGGTCTCCCGTCGTAGAGCCGCTCCCGCAGCTTCGAAGCCTCTCAACTTGGCTGTGTACATGCCTCCTCCACTCCGAAATCGGCATGCCGTGCCTGGCTCTGCGCCTGCCTGTCCAGGAACGCTGAAGTCTTCCATTCCCTGCCCAGTCGTTCGCAAAGATCACATGTCTGAGCCAGAAAGTGTCAACGAAGCTCAGCCGTCCTTGGCCACGACACCACCCAAGGATGGCATCATGAAGTGGATTCTTGGATAAGGGCACAGATTTACTGCATCAGTCGACCAGGTCGCCAGGCGCGATCCTCGTGTCAGGGCGGGTGGAAATACTACAGTATACTCTACTCTACTGTACTCTACTCTACTCTACCATACCATACCATACCATACTATACTATACTAATTATACTATACTAAGGAGCGACAAAGGCACAACCCACGCACGCCCCGAACTGGTCCCGAAAAATCACGGCACTACATTCTATGCGTGGGCAGCAGAGTGCTTTTAGAGCCTCTGAAACCCCCTGTAGATGTTAAGTTATATACGGGTTGTATTCGGTTATATACGGTTATCAATCCGTCTACAACTGATAAAACTCCTGACTATTGGGTCCTGTAGACCCTTCGGTCGGAGCTACCGGAACAGCATACTGCGCTCCTTCCACGGCATTGATGGCCCGTCCAAACCTCAGCGTCACTGGAAAGCTCTCGAACCTATCGTCCGGACAACGCAAGGCAAGTCTGAAGATCAGGTTCTGAATAGTCTAGGTAGCAGCTACCAAATAGCAACATCGCACTTCATATCAGTACAATGAAGGTCTTGTAAGATTCAAGATTCAAGATGAGCACCAAAAAAAGTATAACGCTCATGATGAACATAAGCCTAAACCCTAAAACCCTGAGCACTGCCAGAAGAAGACAGCCCGGGCGACTGGCCGAAGAGGTCCCGTGATGCCGCTGAGCAGTCGCGCCGCCAGGCCGGTGCAGGCCGCGTAATCTGCGACGGTGTGAGGCTTAGGGCTCCGGGGGTTTAGGGTTTTTGAGTTTAGGGTTTAGAGTTTAGAGTTTAGGGTCTACTAGTAGGGTTGTAGAGTTTAGGGTTTAAGCCTTAGGGTTTAGGGGCCCCTAAGCAGAAGTTGCTTCAGACGGCTGAGGGCCTGTAAGGGTTCGAGGGGGCGAGCATGGGGCTTTTGGGGTCTTAGGAACAGAATCTGTGAGAAGTAGGGGGCTCTTAGACAAAGGATCCTGCCACTTGCTCTTTTTCTGAAGTTCCCAGATGCCAGAAGGACGCCCAACGTGAAAGTAGCACAAATAGTGAAAGTAATGAAATTGCGACGACGCAGATCATAAAAAGAATGAGAATGAGGGTACTACAGATGACATACTACAGTACTAGCAGTACTCTCAAAGGGGACCCTATTCTAGAACCCTATCGCATCCTTGAAGGAGCGCCCTTAACTTACAAAGGGGGCCCCTTTTTTTGTAGAACCCCCTTCTGCCCTCAGAGGGCTTACGGCCTGCTATGGTTTCCAAGAATGCGACCGATCCCACAAAGAGAGGAGCCTGGAGAAAAGAGTCCAAGACCATTGACCTTGGAGCTCGCCATTTTCTGAAGGGACGTCCTGTCAGGAAAGTTCTTCTTATCCATGAGGTGGCAAAGTAACATAATGTATCATCACATAGCACTATATAACATCATGTTTTACAATACAATATGATACAATACAAGGTACTATGATAAGAGGTAAGATAGGGCAGGACAAGATATAAGATAGGATAGGACAGGACAAGATCATGTAATCTGCTTGGCTCAAGCCTGTCGTAGAAGGTCACCAGGTCCAGGTACTCAATCAGCGGCGAAGACAGCATCGTACACGCAAGCCGATCACCTTCGACACGTTTCTGGCACGCACACACACACTATGCAACTTCTTGTGACCTTAGGCTCGTCTTCGAGAACGGTTGTGCACGTGCCTTCAGCTGTGAAGTCTGGCACGCAAGTGACCGAATGCCTGACAACAGTACAGCTGGCGATTGCATCACCAATGCGGCACAGTTCTTCATGTTTTGCAGATGCCTCATCTGCTTGGAGTAATCCCCAGCGGTTTTGCTGTAAAGCCTTGGTCAGTCGACTTCTGGAACGGCGGGTCTTGCAACGACAGCTCTAGCATGCTCCAGCAGACCATTAGGTGCTTCAGCTCTGAGCAAAGTCGTAGCCGTGTTGTCGGAACAATACCTCCACTCATCTAGTACTCTTGCTTCGAGAGCAGGAAGCCCTCAATGCTGCTTGGCCTGCGGAAGAGATGCGACCCGAGGGCACTGCCGCCCGACTGTCGCGCGCGCCGCAAGTTTGCATGCGTTAAAGTCTCTCAAAGCGACGCCTCTTTCGGGTGCTCATGCCCGGCTGTTAGTTCAAGCACGGCTCGGCCAGCAGCTGTGTGAATTTTGGAGGCGCAATGGGTTTGGTGCAGTGCTTTCGCAGCTCGCGTCGTTCACTGACAAGCTTCAACAAGAGCCACTTTGTGAAACAATTCCTGCTTTTTCGGGCGTGCAAAATGCATGAAATGCTTGCAGCATGTGCACATGGAAAGCATTGTGATTTTTTCGAAACACACACACACACCCACAACTAGAGCCGCTTTGTGAACCAATTCCTGCTTTGTCAGGCGTGCTGAATGCATGAAATATGAGCAGCATGTACACGTGGAAAGCATTGCGTGTTTTTTTCGAAACACAAACACACACAACAAGATTTGTGAAACAGTTTCCTGCTTTTTCAGGCGTGCAGAATGCATAAAATAATTGCAGCATGTACACGTGGAAAGCATTAGAGAAGCCTCACAACAGCCACCAATGCTGCCGGCTGGCGCAGCGGCGACGCCGCCCATGCAGATGTCCTGCAACACATGCAAAGCAAAATGCGAGTAAGACCGAGACAGACACTGCACATGTTGAAAGCATAGCCCACCAACCCGAGAAAAACATGGAGCCTCACATTTCCCGGCTGAAGCAATCGAGCCATCGTCCCCAAATTCGGAACTGGCAACTTACCTTAATGAACTTCACCATGTTCAGCTCCTCGGACTGTACTGCCTTGTGACTGCAGCTTTCTGCAACGGCCATGAAATATGAGGTTCTACGGCTACGAAACCCTGAAAGTCTCTGCAATCTCCTCGCCCGCCCCGTGGTTGAAGAGCAGGCCCTCCACGTAGTCGGCCTAGCTGCACCGAGGCATCTCCCAGAAATAGTGCTGGCACTGGTAGAGCCCGAAAGAGACAACGACCAGAAAGAGAAGAGCAAGACTAAGAAGCATGATAAATTTACTGATGGCGAGAGACACCAGACCAAGAATCCTAACAAAAGCAGGAGCCGTCGTCACAGGAGTAGCACTAGAATTCACCAGAAACTTTGCTCATCAGAGCATAAACACAACGACTTACAAGCCGTAACGAGCACAGGCGCAACGATATCAAGACTTCCGGAAGTAACCACAACTATGCTTAGTGAAATCCGCTAGAGACATAAGATTCTACACCACTGCAACTGCTGCAACTGCAGGAGTGTATGAGACTATGAAAACCCCAGGAATCAAATCGACTCACCCGAGCCTGCTCCATCTGCCGACGGATGGCTTCGTGGATCTGAACCGTAAGAAGAGAAAGAGGAGCATTGGGGTTTAGGGTTTAGGGTTTAGGGGGTGGAGACAGGAAACACATTCGTAGGTTGAGGTATCGTGTAGCATGCGTAACCTCGAAGCGCGGACTTGCAAGGCAGAGAAGGGTGCAGAAACTGGCACTTTCACAGCAAAAAAAGCCTCTTCGATGAAAGACGAGTCGTTCTGTCCGGCAGACCAACTATTGTCGCCTTGGCGTGCGCCACAACCGATCATAGCAGCAGAAGACAGAGCCAAGGTATCACCAGCATGGCCGCTCAAAGTGTTAGCCCATGCCTTTCCGAGAAACGTTCCCAACCCCCAACCCTCAACCGTGCCCTGTAGAAGTTGCACTTGTAGCTGGCGCGAAACAGCCATCACCGTGGCTAATCTGAGTGGCCAACTAGGGCGGCTTCCTGCGAAGATCGAGGTTGGCGCGAAGATGCCTGCCTGACAGTTCCGCTTTAAAGGGTACGGGGTTCTATAAGATGGTCCCCTTTAAAGGAGCCAGCACAAACTTTGTCCTAATCCACATTGCACTCGGAAGGTGTAAGATGATCTAAGGTGACCGGGTGTTCGGATGCCACGAAGGCATTTGGGTAGTTCTCTAAATGAGGGTCCCTTTGTAAGTCACCACTACAGTACGACACCCTTATCAAAAATGACCCTAAAAAGGGACCCTAGTTTAGAGAACTACCCATTTCATCTAGCAGGACATCGAGACTCAACCCTAAACCCTAAACCCGGACAGACTTCGGCGCAGGTGTTGCTGGAATCCGGGGCTCCGAGATTCAGATCTCTGAAACACAACGACAAGGCCGGTCCAGGCGACTGGGAGGTTTCTTCAATTTGGGATACATCATCTAGGAATTTAGGGTTTTAGGGTTTAGGAATTTAGGAATTTAGGGGTCCTTATAACGGCGGTCCTACGATTGAGGGGTATCTATACTCGGAAACTCCCACGATTCACCACATAATGACGTCACTACGACAGCCACTACCAATCGAGACAGACGTCAACGCATGTCGTTCATGCTCTCTCGTGCTATCTCTAGTGCGCTTACATTCCAGGACACGTAGAGTTCTGCTTTGAGGTGTTAACCCATATGATAACCTGCGTAACGAAGCATCTCAACAGATACATGAGCAAAGTCATTTCTTGGTGTATGTGTGCCTAAACATGTACATGAGCACAGTCTATGAACACATACACAACACTTATTTTGTACATGCATGCATGTATGCGCACATAGCTCCATGTACATACTTTGCGAGTACACACATGGATTCATGAGTTTTTTTCTGTGTGCAGTGTGCGTGCTCTGTGTGTGTGTGTGTACGAAACGTCGCCGAGTGCTATGAGAAGTCCTGGCGGCTAGTCTGAAGACCTCGCACATCAAACTGCCCTGTTACCCGAAAGTAAATGTTGAGCAACCGAATGACCCGAGAATTGAGTATTCCGTCGCGCTGCGGGCATGCGTTTGTGTGGCATATATACATGCATGCATACATCAATACTACATTGGTATACCTACATACATACATACATACATACATGCATGCATGCATGCATACAGACTTGCATGCATACTTGAGAAGAGGATCAAGAAAACTAGGGAAGGAAGCGTAGCAGGGAAGCGGTGGGGCGACTCATCCAGCGAATCTGTTCCCGCACAGCACTTTGCACTCGAGCGCGGCGGAGGCGGCGTAACTGTTTCCAAGTGAAAGATCTCCGGGATCGAATGGCATTTTCGGGCTGGCACATGCCAAGCAGCCTTCTGCCTCCTAGCGGAGCGGGTCAAGGACACAGTGTCAGAGATGCCCACTGTCTTTGCTAAATGCCGACAGTTGTTTGGTGCCGATCTTGCAGGGTCGAAACAACACGTATGCACTACACAACAGCCTCTAAACATGTTGGACAAGGGGGGAGCGGGGCTAGTACTAATCAGCTGAATTGGTAAACGACAACTCCCACAAGCTCCACAGTGCTAGCCTTCGTGTCATTTCGTGACATACATACATACATACATACATACATACAGTAAATGCACACAGTCCGTACATACATAGTGCATACACACGTACATAAATACATACATGCAGCATACATACATGCATACGTACATGCACACATGTATTTTCAGGATAGACATGACAGGAGCCTGGCTGATGGTATCCAGCTTCCCACCATCATACCCTGCCAAGATTGCTCTCGGGATGAACCTGCACAGGGTAGGCAGTAGCAGAAGTACGTCCAGGATAGCATTTGAGATTAAGAGTTAGGGTTACAGGGCAATAGCTTTTGAAAGCACGGTTTGGCTGAGAAGCACTTGTTTCAGACAATTGTCCCATGCGATCCTTCCAGTGGTGCTCTCGGCGAACAGAGGCGTGCTGCATCCATAGACGCTCCCTTCCTGGACAGCAGCTGATCATGCTGCACTCAGCATGTGCGCATCAAACCATGGCGAACACTACTCACTACTCCTGTGACAGCGAATGTGCGCGGAACTCAGCGAATCATGCTCCCACGAGGAAGGGCTGATGCCATGGGGCCTTTGGTCGGCCAGACCCATCAAGCAGGTGCTCCGACATGTACTTCTGCCAGGCCCTGCAGCAGCATGCGATGAGAGTCTGTGTGAAGCCGCAGATGCTCAGACTTGGTGCTTGGATGCTCGGCCGCTGACTGGAGTCCGACATCGCACCCCTCTCCACCAAGATGGACAGAAATGACCTCACGAACAGTCCGGAACTCCGGATGTGAAATCAGGATGATGCCTCGAATCACAACGTATGAGGCCTCCCGTGATGTCAACACACGGAACGAGCTTCAAAACGAACTTGCGAAGAGATTCTGAAACGGCCTGGCATCGACGAAATGTGACCTTTTGGACATCTGGAAACTTAGTTCCACCGGCCAAACCCTTGGCATCCAAGGCGCTCTTGAAGCCTTCCCTGTATCTATAGGTCGCACTCTAAACCAACACACCGAAACCCCGAATCCTAAATCCAACAGTCTTACTCTCGAACCCCGGAGCTCCGGGAGCTCCCCGCCTAAACACATGCCTCCGGAAAAAGATTAGGGATTTACCGCTTTAGGGTTTCGGGTTTAGGCTAGAGTTTAAGGGGTTTAACACAAAACTCACTAAATCCGCTGCCGACGATGCTGCTCATGATGAGTCAGTCATAGCAACGATAAACCGTCAGAATGTGCGGTTTTTATAGTCATGATAAGAAGAAGACTGTAGGTAAAATCGAAACAGTCGTAGGACTTAAGCTGATAGCTGTAGGAATGCTACAAATCACAATGTTCATAGTGGTAGAGACAGCCATCATCACCATCATCATCATTCTCAACATGGCCGGCACAACGACAGCAACAACGACAAGATGCAGAAGAAGACCGCAATGTCAGAACAAGCAAATCCGAGCCCCTGGCGGCGGACGGGGTCTTGGCAGTCTTGCCGCCGCCTCCTCCAAAGGCGATTTCACCTTACACGGGGCTTTGGAGTTCGAGTTGATGCTCATCCCTTGCTCCTGCCTCCTGCAATGATCTCCGCAAGCTTTTGTGACTCTTTCGATTTGACACACTGTTCCGACGTCCAACTGGCCCCGGTAACCACCGACCATCACACTCTGTCATCCGAAGTCACTATGGTGTAGCATAGCACAGTGCATACTCTACTGCTGCACTATACCACACTGGAGCAGCGTATGTTTGAGAATCGCAAGACCTTGAAGCTAGCAGTGGCAAACAAGCCCCACAGTCCTGAACCGGAGAATCAAGCCTCAACTCCCGCAGCGTCGGACCCAAGCCCCTAAATATCGGGTTTTAGGGTTTAGGGTTTGTTGATCTTTCCTGAACCCTCCAATTCAACCCCGAGAACCCTCTCCTACAGCTAGGACAGGCACACAGGCCGCGAGGCCCAGCAACGCCAACACACGCTCCAAGTAGGGCCGCTAGGGCGGGGGCTTGATTTTTCCTTCATGCCGCCCACCTTGACCTCGAAATGCCATTGCGTTATGGACTCGGAGCTCTGTGGGTAGTTTTCCAAGTTAGGGTCCCTTTTACGGTCCCTTTTATTTGGGTTCCGTACTATATTGGGGACCTAGAGAGGGACCCTAATGTAGAGAGCTACCCCTATAAGAAGTTGATGTTTGGGTGTGAAGGCCTGGGTCTTCAGGACCTAGAGCTTCTGGGCTCGCAGGAAGCAGCGCGGGGGCTTCTTTTGAGTGACATCCAAAGGCTTCGTGGGACCATGGCTTCTGGGCCTCTAGGCCTTAGACTAAACCCTAAACGCGATGTTCGAGTACCTCGACTCGCTGATCTTCAACTCCGAATTCTCTACCATTGCAGGGTTAAGGTCCCTGGTATTGGTTCTGTCAGGCTTTAAGGTCTTTGGTGTTTCTCTTGCGAATATGGAAACTCTAACTTACTCCTAGAAAGGAGCGTCTTGCCGGTCATGCATTATCCCTTTCGAGTGGCACGTGGCTTCTTGGATTCCCAGAACTCAAAGTGGGGACTCCAAATTGCAGGCATTCCTGCATGCACATGAAAGTACGGTAAGCTTGCAGCTGTGGCTGGCGAGTCACGACACTTCCAGCCGACAGACTCAAGCTCGAAGGTCTAGCTTCAGTCATGATCGATCGCGGCTGTTCTGTCTTGTGGCTGAAGCATGCAGCCCCGCAACGTAACCTTAAGCCGTTTCCGAGAACCCCGAAGTCAGACAGAGCAATTTAGCCTAAACCCTAAACCCTAAACCCCAAGCAATTTAGCCCCCTTGTTGCAGTCGGGGGACCTTCGGAAGCACGCGCGGCCCTCCGGCCGAGGGCATCTTTTCAAAGAGCACTCCGATGCCATCACCGGCCTCTCAGAGAAGTCTTCTGTGACAGTAGGTGCCCCTACTGGAAGAGTTGAGATTTTTGTGTTTGGTTCCATATAAGTGCATATATCTCTGAGAAATTTCAGCAATACGGGCGACGTCAACGCCGAGCTCGTGCCTGCGTGTTGTTCATCTCCATGCTGGCAAGCGATCGCACTTCCTCGGCCGCCTGGCCGCGTTCTACGGTCTCGCTGCTCAAAGGCTGTTTGAGGGGCCCAGGCCTTCTTCATCACTTCGAACCATGCGCGGAAGGCGCCGATATCGACTTTGTCTTTCTGCGAAGGCAAGGTCGCTCCCAAGAGTCTAGGCAGTCTACACACCCCCCCTCAAAACAACTTCATGGCAGATGCGGTGTTTCTGGAGCACATTGCTGCCTGCTTCTAAAAACGAGAGAAGTGTCCAAAGGGAGTAAGGCACACCCTAAACCCCAAACCCCAAACCCTAAACTATAAACCCTAAACCCTAAACCCTAAACCCTAAACCCCCACCTCCTGGACTTTGGAAAGGTTCCGTTGCTCGCAGCGGGCGATTTGCTTCTCGAAGCGACTCTGGAGGTCCGCCGGCTCCTGGGCTCATCGACGGTTTAGGGTTTAGGGT